ACCACTACAAGGCCAAAGAGCCACTCGAGGTAGAGTGTTGAAGAGTAAGAGGGACAATTTATGGGGATATGTGTAAAGATAACGGTTAACCCTAAACTTGATTGTAGTGATCGAGGAAGCATTCTTTTGGGAATCTGTTGCACAAAGCAGCGGTTTATTGGAAGAAGCTGCTCGAGTGGAATTTACATATCACCATTGGAATACGAATGGAATGACGATGGTTCGCCTCAATGTGCGTGGCATGGCGGGTCTTAGCCGTGATGGTTATACCTGGTGAAACTAATGAATATAGTCTAAACACTTTCCATGAAAATAGCAATAAAGTAGCGATATGTTTGAAACTTTTCCACTGTGTGAAAGGAGTTGTAGGGTAGAAAATAATTCATCACCCACAAGGACGCGTAAACACTTTGGGGCTATATCGAGACGGAAAGTGAAGAGTGAGCAGCTCCTAACATATATGGCAACAGTGCTCTATTTTTGGCCTGATATCGCTATCGTAAAGGTAGTGGATAGCAGGAGACGTCAGGTACTTACTGGAGGTTATACAGGGAAGACCATTTTTCCAGAATATTTAGTGGGGGATTGTATGAACGACTTTCAGTTGAAGTTTGTGTGGAGCTTGTCCCAATAGCCGCTCAAGGGGCACGGGGCCTCCCAGAGACAATGCCCATTTATCGCGATAGGGGAAAATTCAGTAATTCACTAGGTTGGTCTTTGAGGTATTGAATGTGACCAGCCAGTTTTTTCTGAAACAGTTCTAATAGCTCAGCAGTTGTTAGAGTTAAGTCAGATTCCAGATTGGCTACCAGTATCTGTTCATCCAGAAATTTGGAGGTGCACCCATATACTGTTGTATCATCAGTATTGATATTTACAAATGATCGGAGTATAAGGCAGATCATTTATGTAAAGTAAAAAGAGAGTAGAAATGAGTTATGAGCCGTGGGGGTGCTTGCGCTCATCGTTTGGACCTGGCCGTTATCAATTACTTCCAGGGTCTTTCCCGTTAGGAGGGACTTGATAATTCAGAACCCTATTACAGTGATTCCATAGCTATACAGCTTGTGTGGTAACCCTCTTTGTCACACCTTGTCAAAGTTTTTGAAATATTTTATGCGATCGTCTTTTAGATGTATTGTCTAGTGGCTTACTGATTCTGTAACGAAATCAGTAGTTTACCGGAGCTGATAGAAATCCAGACTTATTTGACGCTTGTCCCAACCTATTTTTGATGATAGCTTCAAAATGTTTGCTAACGACACTGAGGAGGATGATGGGTCTATATTGAACCGGGAATGAGCGCTCACTCTCATTCTTGAAAACAAGGTATACACTTGACAGCTTTCACAGACTCGGGCAGGATTTCTCCTTGAAGAGCATTTCGATGTGGAAAGTGTTGCCAAGTCACAGAGAATTAGGGTTTCCATCTATATATTTATTAAGTTTAGCGTAGTACGTAACAAGATCAAATACAAGTAGGAAGAATGTAATGCGCCATTATTTCCAATCTATTATTTTGAGTTGGATATTGATCTCTGATATCGGTGGGACATCCGTAACTATTTCAACCACGGAGTATTAAGTACAGTATTGGGTCATTGTCTCGGGAAGCATTGCGAGGAAAACGATTTAGAGTTGATACGTGCCTTGTTAAACAAATCCAGAAAAGGGATATTTGAATTCTAAACACGCCTTGTTAAGCAAATCCAGTAACGCAATATTGATTCTTCTTCCAAATACATTTACTGTTGGTATATGGAGTTTCATTAGAAATGATTCGGCTAACTTTTACATAACTTTAATTTAGTATCCGACACACACACACACACACACACACACACACACACACACACACACACACACACACACACACACACACACATATATATATATATATGCGTGTGTTTGCGTGCGTGAGTGAGTATAATATGCAACTTACAAAAATCAATTTTTATATCTGAATATTCTGACATTTTGATGATGGAAACACGCACACACATGCACATGTATGTATATATTACATATATAATCATTATTTTTTTATGTATACATATATTATTGAATATAACATACAATGAATATCGTTGTTAATTTTTAAAATATAGTTTCTCTTTTTATCATATACGGAACGGATCGGTGCTTCGAGAAATTGTCCAACCTTCATGTCAACGATTTTATCGATTTCAACTATTCACTAGTCATCCTCAGGAATAAAACTGCAGAACAGATTATATTTGTCAGTTGAAGATCACACACGTACGCAAAAACACACACATACGTACGCGCGCGCACACACACACACGATCACTCACACGCATACATATATTTAATATTTAAACACTTTTTATTAAATTTATTCGATCAGCTCCTTCTGTTTATTTTTTATTGTATTTTTCCGATGTTGAAGAAAGCAATCAGAATAAAAGTTGTGGAAAAACTTTCCAGATGTCGTTTCTTCTATTTATGCTTGGTCATTATAAAGAACTAATTATTATGGCTAAAGGTTTTCTTAATTACATCTTATGGCATACATGTTAATATTTCTTTGTAAAATAAGTTGTTTAAATTAAATTTTGTATAAATCACACGCAACACACTCTCACACGGAGTTTCAAAGATGTATACATATTTGTACAGTGTATAGATCAAGTGAACTTGCTTTCTTTTCAGATTTACACGTTAGTATTGTGGAAGAGAAGATGCTTACCTCGTGTGGCAAAGCGAGCACGTATATGCCTGGCGAAATATGGCCGCCCTGACACCTTATTTTAAGAAAGACACGGTGTCGGAGTTAGGAGAATTGGCGCGAGTGGTTGGGCGTATGCAAAACAGCTTGCAACACCATGCAAGAGAGAATAGACAGTTCGCTTATGAACGTGACGCTGCTTGTACGGAGAGACTTTGTCAGTTGGAAAGATATTACTTGGGTACCTTTCATACAAGCTGTTTCAGCGAAAATGACGGAGAGAAAGTTTGACCCCATTCCGGAGGGAAGTTTGATCCCATTCCGGAGGGGAAGTTTGAACGAGTTGGATGGCTCGGCGTCCGGACCATCTGTGCTCGACTGGATTGAGAAGGCTGAGTTGGTCTGTAAGATGTGCCAGGTGAAACATCCAGAACACGTAATCCCTTTAAGGCTAATGGGTGGTGCGTTTGCTGTCTACTAGCAACTGAGAGAGGAAGAAAAAGAGGATTTCAGCTAGATAAAATCCGCACTGTACGCAGCTTTTGTTACATATGGTTTTTTGGCTTCTTTACGTAGAAGCACTTAACGAAGGCCATCTCCGTGTTATTTATGTGATCAGGAGATCAGGGAGGAGTGTAGAAGAGAAGATGACTTAGCTCGTGTGGCAAAGTGAACACGTTTTATACCTGGCGTGCAAAACGAGTAAAGGAAAGGAAAATGAAATATGACCGCCCTGACACCTTAATTTAAGAAAGACATGGTCATCGAGGTAGAAGAATTGGCGAGAGTGCTTGGGCGTATGCAAATTTTTTGAGAGATCAGCTCGGCATAAAAAACACCATGCAAGAGAGAATAGACAGTTCATTTGTTAACGTGGTGCAGCTTGTACAGAGAGACTTTGTCAGAAAGAGATTACTTGGGTCCGTTTCACATAAATATTACTAATGCCATCCAGGCTTAACTTCAAACAAAGAAAGTTCCTCCTGAAATACTACTGGAAGTACGAAAATGCAGTTGAAGTTCAAAGGAATTCTCTTAATTAAGGTGGACATCAATGCATCCTTATAGTGGTAAAACGATGATACCAAGCTGTACTGTGGGAAATAAGTAAACGTTATGGTGATTAAGAAGTTTTTTGCTAGATAATATTGAGTTTTTATCATTAATGTAGAAAGTATTTTTCGTGTACCGTCTCGATCGCGTTGAAAAACCATCTGGGTCCTTCCATGGCACAATTCTTTTATGACAACAGTGGAATCTTTCAGTAGAGTAGCGTGTCCTGCTATACTGAATTAGAGGAAAATAATTTATAAACATGAAAAGAATTTCACTGCTTTACACTGGCTGCGGAATACGCCAGATATTAATCCCATTAAGCATCTCTGGGATATTTTGAATCGACAAGATAATTCTACAGAACGTTCCTCGTGTAATATGCATAATATGTGGATTCTATTCTTGATATTTTAGATTCTATTCTTGATATTCTGAGTTCATATTTTAAACCAATAAGCATCAATATCATTTTAATTCATTACTCAGTATATATATATATATATATATATATATATATATATATATATATATATATATATATATACATGAGTCTTGGTCTTCCAATCCAAATTACAAATTATCTCCACATACAATTAATTACATCCTTACGAAATGTACGACTCGTGTCCAGAATCGGTGATTTCGTACATTTATTAAAAGATCATTTAACTGCATGGCTTAGAAGACATTAAAGATTAGAATATCACAAACATGCACATAGAATAAATATATAGGGGCAAATATATTTTTGTTCTTTTTTCTCATTGTCCTGAATATTCTCTTTTAAGCTTATAAAAATTGTTGGCTTAATTCATTAAACTTTAGACCGGCACAAGGCTTAAATGCCGTAATATCGTCTGACTGTGCAGAAAATCGGCATTTTAAATTATGGATTTCTTATTAATTAGTTGAATTTTCCAGATATCATGGCTCGGGGCTCAGTTTTGGACATTGGGGATCTGGGGACGGCAATGCAGGACCGAGCAGTGAGGATTGTTAATGGAGTTCCGACCAACCACAGGGAAGTCGAAGGATGATAATGATGATTATTTAGTTCAATACAAAACAAATCCAGTATTGTCTAGTAACGAGAAGGTTGAAAGATTGTATCGCATAGTTGGCTTGCATTGGAAATCTGCATTTGAAATTTGTCTGGGTACGAACACCGATTATTGATGTCAACAGAGGTACAACACTGCAACAGCGACAATAATATATGCAATGTTAACTTAGTACATTACCAAACCTGTGAAATATGTTGCAATTTTATTTTCACAAGGTTGGAGTTTTGTGTAAGAAAAGCTAAGGCATAGTTTTCCTTCTTGAATCTAGAGTAGTATATCTATCTATCTATCTATCTATCTATCTATCTATCTATCTATCTGTATATATATGCGTATGTGTGCGTGCGTGTGTAAAAATTCAGATATAACTAAAAATATAGTTGTAAAATGAAAACGCATTTCATTTGGGTTGATAAAGTCCATCAGAGTACGAAACTCGTCGGCAAAGATAAGTTTTCCCTTTGTCATATATATATATATATATATATATATATATATGAAGGAGCGAATGTGCATTCTTTTAGAAAGATAATTAAATCCTGCCAGGGTATAAAGTTCTCTGTTGCCAAGCGGTCTAAATTTCGCCGAATCAGATAGTATTTTCTTTAACAAAGTGTGCTTCAGATTTGAATCCTTCCAGAGATTCATATTTAAAAAAAAAAAAAAAAAAAAAAAAAAAACAGGGCGTCAATTCAAACATGGGTATCCACAAAATAAGGTTTGGAATATATATAAACGCATTTTATATAGTTTTGCTTTCTCCAATAACAACGGTATTTAATAAATACTGTTTGTGAGAAACGGAATAACAAATAAAGCAACAGCCAAACCCCAGTTGGTATTTTCAAATCTGGTTTCAATAGTAGGTAGGTTTCACAAGTTTGAATTGCTATCTCTAGTTTCAGTTGGTTATGAATTCAGAATGGCTCTATTCCTAGACACTTTACCACCAAGGCTAGAATGCTGGGGATGTCTTGCTATTTAATCTATAGCAGGAGGTTCAGAGAAGAGATGGATCCATACCGTTCCTAAGAGTATTTGTGCGAAAATGACCACAACGGCATCGGTTGGAATCTCGTTTCATCGATCCTATAATTTACGCCATTAGCAGCTATGCTACGTGAACATCCACCGAAAAATTCTTAGTATACACAATCGAAATTAGTTTGAAAAGTTATGCTAGGCCTTGAATAGTTTTGCTTTCTCCAATAACAACGGTATTTAATAAATTCTGTTTGTGAGAAACGGAATAACAAATTCTCCGCATTGGCTACAAACTCAAAAAAAGGATGATGAATAAAAGTTCTTCGGTAGGTGCCACTTTTGGTTTTATAATCAAGCATTACGGAAGAACGACTCATTTATAGAAATCAGTGAAGAATTAATGAGAGAAGGCGTTTATTGTATGTCCGTTCCAAGCAAATAGATCTCAGGTGGATAACATTCAACAATTAATCGATAAGCAATCAAACATAGAACATATCAATAATGTAACAATCAAAAGCCTCGGACGCCTCACCTTGCGGAAGGCCTTCTGAATAATCAAATACTCTGCCTGTAAGTTCGCTTATTGGCAAAGCTCGCCATCAATACAAATATCAGGTTCGCTGGCCACCAAATTGAGTTGAGGTATGGAACAATGTGGGGACAACAATCTTACGAAGTCAACTATAGATTAAAATTGGTACTTATTCAGAGTTGCATAATCTGGCACAAGGTCACTGGATAGGTCCCTCATTACTGTAATAACGGTCTATGAGGAGCAATCTGCGATAAGGTTATGTATTTATAATTCGGGTGCTGATCTTGCTCATCATTCAAAGCGGATAAACTACTTGAGAAAACTATTAATACCAGTGGGTCTCAAAAATTTGGGGCTTTTGCTCGAAAAACTAAATTTCACTGATATCTTGAGGATTTCACTAGGGATTAATGTTTAGCAAGCTATTCTCTGATTACTACTGTAGTGCGTTCAATAAAAATTATACGCTTTTAGAGTGATGGTCTTGCAAATATCTCTATTCTATTCTGCTTATTAGGTTAGTTGGTTGTTTTTCCCACTTGTCAAACCTTGTTGGATTATTTAATATCGAATATTGTAAGGAGATTAAGGATTGAACTCAGTAGTCAAGGATCAACAACACTAACCTTGTTAGCCATTATTCCACTAATTTGATAGACAAAATGTGTATTTATAACTATTACCACAGATTGATTCACCTGCTCAGTTTTAAAATCAGGACGTTTAACACTGCTTTTCCCACTTGGCAAATTGGCGCGATAAACTCTTCATGCAATCATCTTTTTACCTTTTTTATCTGTTAGCTTTTTGCCGAACAAATTTCCAACACTTGTAAGTTATTTTACCACGTATCCCAGTGGTTAGAGATATGTGTTCTGATCTGATCTCTAAAAGGAGCATTTGAGAAACAGTTAAAAATACAGTTTTGATCGGAATTCGAGTTTTCCCAGTGATTCACCATATGGCCATTGTATACAGCTAAGTAGTTGGTTATTCTAAAGCACTAACACCTAAGTTGTTGAGCAAATATGTGATTCAAAAGTGCGAGGTGAAACAGCTTCAAATTTAATATTGTAATTAAATAAGTCGAATATAATTTTTCAACGTATCATCAAGTTTCGTTTGATCAGAGGTCGGGACTTAAAGAGGAGAAAGACAGACAAATGAAATCAGAACGAAATTTATCAGCTGTATTTTTTTTTTCCGATGGAGAAGTTTGTGATCATTTTTTTGTCCGATGTATCATATTGCAAAAACGATACTTTTTTTTAGTTTGATAAAAATAAAAATCCAAAAGAAATGTCTTTGCGAATTATTTATAAGGGTCGAAAACATTTATGGAGATTCGCCTGGAGAAGAAAGTTTTGATTGATGCTGATCATATGACTACATTATTTCACTGAAATCGTGTTTTATTTAAATATATTCTTTCTTTCTGTCTTTGTTTCTTTCTTCTTCATTCTTCCATTGTATTTATATTTATTTCTTCTGTACAGCCCGAGCCACATCAATGTCCATTGAAGTATAAAACCACTATAGACTCTTATTTCGTATCCTACAGGGAGCAGCCCTTTTAGAGAATGTAGAATGAAATGAATTAAAGGAAAAGAAAGAAAGGAACTGGAGGCTTCTTATCTTATTTGGTAACCGAGGAAACATTACAAATTATTAAGTAATAATAATGTTTTCCAGAGCCGAGAAGGTTATTTTGCTTCTTGAATTGTTATTTAACAAGGTTAAAAGAAATTGGCATATTACGATTCAGTCAGTTATGTGCCATGCATGATACACGCTTAGGTGATCATGTATCTTTCGATACATGACTTATGAGGCAGATTTTTCCCCGCAGGAGATTTCCATTTCTTTCTGATGTAGATCAGTTGCCATCACAAGGCTAAAGAACCCGGTCTGTCCTGCTATTTATCCACAGCTGGGGGAGAAGAAGAGATACCTTTCCCAAGCATAAGTAAATGTAACTCGGCTCTCTGATTCCTCAATCCGAACTGCTATCCATTAATCCACCGTGCCTCTTACGATATATTACGATTACTCTTTTGTATATTCGCTATCTATTGTTTGATCTCACGCAAAACAACTACTCTCATTTCTAGCTTCTTGCTTCTAATACTATTAATACGATAATTAATCATAGTTTTTCTTCCGATTAGTTTTTATTTTATTTTAGGTTAACAAGCATTGGTTGCGAAGTTGGGTATTATAGCGAATTCGTTCGATTTTTGTCTTTGATGGTTATGGGAATTGCTTAGCTGTAGCTATTATCATTCCAAGTCAGATGCAACAGGTATCGGGTATATACCGCGGTATCGGGTATTTTCTCGGGATGACTGCCTATGAAGCAAAGTACAGAAAGTGGTAGATGCATGCTTTTCCCAAAAGAATGAACACACTTTCAGTTGAAATCTATCTATCTATCTATCTATCTATCTATCTATCTATCTATCTATCTATCTATCTATCTATCTATCTTCCTTCCTTTCAGAATACCGTTAGCTATGCCAATTTTAAAGATATAACTACAGTATAATATTGGCCAAAGAGAGGGAGAAAGAGAGAGAGAGAGAGAGAGAGAAAAGAAAAGAAAAGCAAATCAAAAATGTTATTGATTACATATTCTTCTGTCTCAGTGAATTGAAAATTAGTTTAGCTTAAGACCAAAGACTAAACGTATGTGAGGCTTGAAATATTCGACTAACTGTTCCATTTTAGAATTCTGGCAATTACATTAGTAGACACGTATCTTCAGCCACACTTTTCAACGTTAAAGGGGAGAAAATAATAAGCTGGGGGTTAAATCTTGTTCATTACCCCTCGTAGCAGCTGTAAAATATATGCGTATTAGATTCTTCATGCTCTACTTAAAGCCAATTGAAGACATACAGAGAATACTTTTCAAAAGACATGTGGAGAATCTTAGAACAAAACAACTGGTTTGAGGAGGAATCACGGATGAAAATGCTCAGATCGCTTGCAAATAAAGAACTAAATTGACTTTACCCACCGAGTTGAAGAGACAAAACAAGGGCGAATTCTAACAAGGCAAATTAGCAACGGTGCTGCTTAGCAATAAAAATATTTGATTTTTGTTGTTATCTCTCGCTATTTACTTCATCTCTCTTTTCTATCTCGTTTTTCGCTTTATTTTTGTCTTATTTCTTAACTCATTCTCTTTTTTTCTTTCTGTCTTTACATTGTATTTCTTTCTTTTGTTCTTAAAACCTCATTTGTTTGTTTTTCTCTCTTTTTCACTATTGTCTATTTTTCTTTACGCTCTTTTAGTCTTTCTTTCATTTTTCTTTTAACTCTCCTTTTCTCTCCTTTGTTTTTCTCTCTCTCTCTTTCTACCATCGTTTCTTTCTTTTCGCTCAGTTTTACATATCTGTTTCTTTAATTCTATTTCTATCCTTCTCTTTCTTTTTCTTTTATTTGTTCCTCCTTCACTGTCTCATCCTCTCTCCCGTTGTTTTATTTCACTATTTCTCTTTCCTTTGTTTTTGGAACTCACACCATTTTAATCCCATTTTTTAAAACTATCTTTTTCGTTTATTTCTATTCACTATCTTTTTCTCTTTCCTTTTTTTTTCATTCACTCTGTCATTCCTTAATTCTTTTCATTTCTTTCACTCTGTTTTCTCTTTTTTTTATGATTCTCGTTGCCCTTTGATTACTTTTATTCTTTTCTCGCTTTCATTCATTTTTTTTCTCTCACATATTTTCTTTATTCCTTTTATTTTCAATCTCTCATTCCATGTTTTTCTCTATCTCATTTGTTTTTCACTCTCTCCTTTTAATCTCTCTCTCTCCATTCAGTTTTTTGCACCCTCTTTCACTGTTTGGTTTCTATATTCTATTTTCTGTCTTTTGTTATTTTGTTGTCTTTTTCTCACTTTTTCCTTCGTTTCTCCTCTCCCACACGTCTTATATTACTTCCTTTTTTATTTCCCTAAATTTTATCCCTCTCTTTATATTTATATCCTGTCTTTATCACACATATTTTTCTATTTCTTCTGGTAATCGGTCCTGACTTTCTTGGAATTAACGTAAGCTCGAACCAAGATTAAGATTTTTTTAAAATTATTACTGTTGACTTTTTTGTTTACTGTCTGTGTTCGACATTTTTTTTAGGGAGGCTTTTCTCTCTTTAATCACTGACTTGTTCGGTGACTCTCTGCTTGCTGCTTTGTCTGTTTCTTTCTCGGGTCAAATTTAGATTTGATTCAAGATCAGCTCTAGCTCTTGTTCAGACAATTTATATTACCAGAAGCAATTACTTTTCATACATATGTTCTCTCACTCATCTCCCATTTTCTCCTTCTACTTTGTTTATTTTTCTTTCTCTCTTCTTTCTTTTTCTTCTACAGACTGAAGTTGATCAAAGATCAACAATGCGTTCAGTTAAATCAATTAATATTTCGCTTGTTCTTTCTCACATACCTTTCTCTATCTATTTATATGTTCTTTCTCATTGTGTTACCATTCTTTCTTCACGGCCCATTCCAACATCTTTCTTTCTACATTCCAGAATATTTCTTTTTTTTCTTATTTTTTTTTGTATTTCAGAATCAATCAATCATTCTTTCTTTCTTTCTTTCTTTCTTTCTTTCTTTCTTTCTTTCTTTCTTTCTTTCTTTCTTTCTTTCCCCCCACCACTTCTTTCTTTTTAATTTTGCCCACACTCCTTTATTTTTTTTCTTATTAGATTTCGGAATCATTTATTTCTTTTTAAGTTTTATTTCGGAAAATATTTTTTTCTCTCTCTTCTTCTCTTTCCTTTCTTAAATTTGTACCTGACCTGTACTTTCCTTTCCTTGTTTTTTTTCCCTATATATATTTGGGTAATGATCAATCCAGGTTTCTTAAACTCTAAATCGATTTATTTTAATTTAATTTTTTTTTCATTCTCTTCTTGTACCTTGTGTAGAGTTTCTTTCTTTTTTTTCTCTTCGGAAATCTCACGAGACGATGTGAAATCACGCAAAACTCCGACTCACGTTCACACTGAACCTTATTTGACCGAGTCGCACGAACAAGGGTGTAAATCAAATGGAGATTGCTACATAAACGGATTTTCTCTTGACGTGACTTTCGTAAAAAAGCATCCATTCTGTCCAAAATCTGATAAAATCCATTCGATTTCCATAAAATACAAAACTGTGTATATCTTGCCTTATATATTTTATCGTATAGGTAACCTTTACAATTTCATAGACGATTTTTTAAAGTTTTGTTTTTCTTCCACAGTGCAGTTCCACTAAACAGTCTGTTTGTTATGACATTATAGAAGAGGAAAATATAGAGAATGTAATAAGAGGACAGAGTTGGAACTCCAGCTGAGGTTTCTTACGTTGGTATAAAATGAATAACATTTGAAAAAGTAAAAATCAACTTCCTTCTTGCATCATTAATATCATGATAAATATGTCCTATATTTGGCCTTTCACAATGGTTAACAAAAGTAAGCTCTTGGGGAAACTACTACCCCCCCCCCTATATTTACCATGAATCAGTAATAAATATAAAATGTTGTTGCATCCCCTGTAAATCTGTACAGTTGTCAGCACAGCCACCATCACTGGGGTGTATGAAAAATATTTTTATTTTTTTAGCGACTTCAAAGCTTATTTCTCATATACATCTGAAAACACACACACATACAAAACACAAAACAAAAATACGATCAGTCTTTTCTCTCATATATGTTATTTTGCTAATTAAAACAATATTAATTATAACAAAATACATAAAAATGATAATAACAACAACAAAACTATTGGTAATAATCTTTAGTAGTGGTGGTGCGATAATAGTAAAATTAATAGCAGTGGATATAGTAATAACAGTAGTAGTAATAGTAGGGATCATTTGGAAAGTTATTGACCATGCTGAAATGTTCACTTTCTTTTCATCCTTAGATGATATAAGAATTCATCCTAAAATATTCTTTTTCAGTTAGCTGTGACAGCTGTTATATAACATCAACATTTCTGTTTCTTTTTATTTATTGATTCAAAATGAAAACAAAAAGTAATATACGAGGCTTATGCATTTTCTGTTACAAAACACAACATTACTTTCAGATTATTAAGAAGGTTTTGTGAATTATTAAAACTATCAAAATTGTATTTCATTGAATTTTCGTACAGGTATACACATTGAATGACGTTACACAGTCGGATTATGTTGATTATATTCAAATCAATGAATTACTTGAGACTACTCAACATTATACCACACGGGAGATGTATTCAACGCAAGCGTTGAAAATTATTTGCATCAACTTTATTATTTTATTCACTTTGATATGTAGCTTCCATATAAAGTGAGCAAACATATTGGACGGTTTTTCCGCCTGAAGTCAGCAATTTAATAGCTAGGAAAATATTCCGTTATGAAATATATTGTAATGGTCAATGCCATGTTGATCATTTTGAATGCCAGAGACTTTGGGGTATTTAAAAATGTATCATATCTAATTGCAGAAAATGTCGGTTTTCACCCAAAAGAGGTTATGTTGTATATACGGACAGATTGGAAGGGATTTCACTTCGACAACTTCCTTATTGAAAAAAAAAAACTAACGTTTCGAAAAAGGAATGTTCCCAGTTAGATCAACTGAAGGCAGCGATCGACAGAAAGCATCTGAAACTTGTTAAAGTAAAATGGCATGATATTCCATTGCGATGATTCTTATATTTGTAGACCATGCAAATATTTTTTTATTTTGCCAAATTTACCAAATATTACAATCTCGGAATACCATTTATTGCGTTTCCTTACAGCTTTCGATTTAAGCGAAAAAAATGATTCTCTGAAAGACTGCAAATGACAGCTTGAACATTCTACGTTTAGAAGTATAAAAATTCCGGAAGATCATCATTTAATCAGTATAGAAAACCTTTTCGGCTTCTTGATGCAACCGTATGTTCTATTCTAATAGTTACTTTTCTCGTACTTCCCATCTATGGAACCCCTTTTCCAGTTTCTTTGTTTCCCTCCTAACTACAATCTTCAAAACTTTTAAATACAGCATTGATCGCCATCTTTTGTCTCTCTGTGTCCTGCTCTTTTATTGTCCTTTCTCCTCACTAAAGTGTTCTCATTTTTTTTCACTCCCGGTAACTTCTTGCATTATCGCCTTGCTTGGAGTGAAGTAATTAAAAAAATATATAATCATAAACTTGCCTGAAAGATAGTTGTACATAATAGAAGAAAACAGTTAGTATGTTAGTCAATAAATGAATAAATAAAAACATCTTTTATTTTTACTTAATAAACTGAACGCATAATTTTGACTACCCATGTGGTTGCTGTAGTAGTAGTAATAGTAGTTGTAATAATAATAATAATAATAATAATAATAATAATAATAATAATAATAATCATTATGTTTTAATTGGCAGTAGTAGGTGTTGTAGTAGTAATTGTGCTCCGTAATTTATTGAATCGATGAGTGAGCGGATGATCATAATTCTCTTTGCCGCTAATGGCCGGCCATCGTGGTCAATTCCAATGGCCGCTTCTTTTTCTTCATATTTTATTGATTACATTGAGTCATTTTTTATTTATTTCCACTGCCTTTTGCCTAATGTGGCTTTATTAAATCTATACATATTCATCCTCTGTTTGCCTACACTTGTGGCCGGTCGGCACACACCTCGCTGTTTCCTACCCGCGGGGGAACTTCGAAGACTTCGTCTGCTACGGTCCAAAGATTCATGAATAACGCATGAGGCCGGGTCTATTTTATTTATGATATTTTGTTTTGTTCTGATTTGCGACTGGTTCGCTTTTATTTTCCTGTTTTGTGTTTGATGCTTTCGAGAAACTTTTCTGTTGAAAGCTGACCTACTTAGTTAAAACAGTAGTAGTAGCAATGATACTCTCGGGACCACGTCATCTATTCTGCCATTACTTAATTACTTTCATTTAGTCAGGTGTTTGGTAGCTAGGTGGTTAGGTGGTTAGTTGGGGATTGGGCTTTATAAATACATTCGGTTCAATTCACCTTAAAGATTTTTTTCTAATTATAAAATATCGGTGAGAGCAAATCGACTTGTTATAATGGTTAGCAAGTTTGTCGCGCTAGATCAATTACGACTGAATATTGACTATATATTCGTCGTTGTGCCACATTTAAGCTACACCTAGAAAATCATTTTGGGCACCTCGACGTGGTGTAATGTTTAGCAAGCTTTTCTTGATTCTCACTGGGTGCCCCTATTTTGGCTTTGTGCCACATCTAAGCTACACTTAGAAAATCACCATAAAACATCGGCGAAACACTAAAGGAATTACTTTGCTTTGGAGGAAAAAAATTTAATTCACATGGAATGCCTAGTGGTTTAAATAGTTCTGATGTCAGAGGGTGGTGTTTAAGCCATGATTTCAAATGCTGATTTTCTCAGCAGGTAGAAATTACTGACTTGGGAGATGGGCATAATACACGGTTTTCATTTACTCCCAATATTTGGGCTTTTGATTTTTAAATTGATTAAGATGATCTCAATGGCTAACACTAATATTGCTGTCTGTGTGAGTGAGTGAGTGAGTGAGTGTGTGTGTGTGTGTGTGTGTGTGTGTGTGTGTGAGAGAGAGAGTGAGAGAGAGAGAGAGTGAGAGAGAGTGAGAGATACTTTATATCGTAAAGGAATTGAATATTCCGAGTTACTCACACAAATGGGTTCAGGAAAAAGAGCTTTAGAAGTTTGAAAGTTTTGCAAATTATTCCATGTCAATCAATCTAAATAAAAACGAAGGCCGAAAAGTAGCAAATAATGCGCGGTGATCATATCTCCCATTTGAGAAAAGCGGATATGTTTACAACAGACTAGTTAAAGTTTCCGGAATTATCGTACATTGGGATAAGATATATCGGGAGAAAATACCAGAACTTCGGTTTAGAGATAAAAAAAAAAAAAATCAAAACTCATAGATTAATTTTGGTTGTGGCATTAATTACAGTAACACGGGAAATCGTCTAGAATATCTTTTTTGAAGTACTGAACCGATTAAAAACTAAACAAAAAATATTGATCCATAGAAACAGTTTTTGAAACTAAAAGCACACACTGGAAAAGGTGCAACATCTCTGTGATTAAATAGAATTAACTCATCGTAAGCAGAACTGTCATGATGGATATATGGGGCCTCATATATGTGCATCCTAACGTCTCCTCGCTGGTATTTATTATTATTATTATTATTATAATTATTATTATTATTATTATTACAGCAGCAACAACAACAACAACAACAAAAATAATAATAATAATAATAATAATTTAAAATTGAGCACTTTTGTTAATCGACATTATATGTCTTCTTGATTACTGTTCTTTATATTGTCCTTTCTCCTCAGCAACTTTTTTCTCAGTTTTATTCAGCCCAGTAACACCTTGGGTCTTAGTGTCTTTATCGACTTACTTCTAACAGTAAAGTATATAGGGCAGATTGTTCTCGTTCTTCTGACAATGTCTAGTTATTATTTAGTTCTTATTTGGTACTACTCAGTGGATGGTCGCCACTAAGTCCAAGTACACATTGTCCAGCCCAAAGATTGAACTCACAATTACTGTATCACCTAACTTTAATTATTGTATCACCAATGCTTTAATCAACTAGCTGGTTGTCCCGTGGTCAATAGAACAACAAAAATAGGGGTGTTATTTCGCGTGTAAATAATGATAATTCCTCGTCATAAAAATTTCGACAGAAAATAACAAAAATTCTTGGCCACATCCCCAAATTTAACCAAATGACTTTTTTTTTATTTATCTTTT